TAAGTCTGTGTGTGTACGTATGTGTGTGTGTGTGTGTGTGTGTTTGTGTGTGTGTGTGTGTGTGTGTGTGAGTGAATCTGTGTGTGTATGTGTGTGTGTGAGAGTGAATCTGTGTTGATGTGTGTGTGAGTAAGTCTGTGTTGATGTGTGTGTGAGTAAGTCTGTGTTTATGTGTGTGAGTTGGTCTGTGTTGATGTGTGTGTGAGTATGTCTGTGTTTATGTGTGTGTGTGAGTAAGTCTGTGTTTATGTGTGTGAGTAAGTCTGTGTGTGAGTATGTCTGTGTTTATGTGTGTGAGTAAGTCTGTATTTATGTGTGTGAGTAAGTCTGTGTTTATGTGTGTGAGTAAGTCTGTGCGTGTGAGTATGTCTGTGTTTATGTGTGTGAGTTAGTCTGTGTGTGTGAGTATGTCTGTGTTTATGTGTGTAAGTAAGTCTGTGTTTATGTGTGTGAATAGGTCTGCGTTTATGTGTGTGAATAAGTGTTTATATGTGCGTGTGTGAGTAAGTCTGTGTGTGTGAGTATGTCTGTGTTTATGTGTGTGAGATAGTCTGTGTGTGTGTGAGTATGTCTATGTTTATGTGTGTGTGAGTAATTCTTTGTTGATGTGTGTGTGAGTAAGTCTGTGTTTTGTGTGTGTGAGTAAGCCTGTGTTTATGTGTGTGTGAGTAGGTCTGTGTGTGTGAGTAAGTCTGTGTGTGTGAGTAAGTCTGTGTGTGTGAGTAAGTCTGTGTTTAAGTGTGTGTGAGTTAGTCTGTGTGTGTGAGCAAGTCTGTGTTTATGTGTGTGTGTGAGTAAGTCTGTGTGTGTGAGTAAGTCTGTGTTTATGTGTGTGAGTAAGTCTGTGTGTGTGAGTTAGTCTGTGTGTACGTTTGTCTTTGTGTATGTGAGTAAGTCTGTGTGTTGTGAGTAAGTCTATATTCTGTGTTTATGTGTGTGTGAGTAAGTCTGTGACGGTGTGTATGTGTGTGAGTTAGTCTGTGTTTATGTGTGTGTGTGAGCAAGTCTATGACGGTGTGTATGTGTGTGAGTTAGTCTGTGTTTATGCGTGTGTGTGTGTGTGTGTGTGAGAGTTAGTCTGTGTTTATGTGTGTGTGTGTGTGTGAGTAAGTATGTGACGGTGTGTATGTGTGTGAGTTAGTCTGTGTTTATGTGTGTGTGTGAGCAAGTCTATGACGGTGTGTATGTGTGTGAGTTAGTCTGTGTTTATGCGTGTGTGTGTGTGTGTGTGTGTGAGTTAGTCTGTGTTTATGTGTGTGTGTGTGTGTGAGTAAGTCTGTGACGGTGTGTATGTGTGTGAGTTAGTCTGTGTTTATGTGTGTGT